TTTGGTTAACTCAATTACAGAAAGAGTGGAAATTATTGAGCTTTTTTCAAAAATGAACGTGGAGATCAGCTCTTCAACCAACGACATCGTAATAAGCACGCTTCTGAGAAAAGTTATACATACTCAAAATTAGGAAATATTTTGGGGGTCCCACCTCATCAGCCGCTTAGTTTATTTAAATGGCACTTTCCCAAAAGAGTGAACAAAAACACATGCAATTGAGTGACCCTTAAATTTTCGTTTATGAGAACAGTTTAAAATGAAAGCAAAACAAGAAAGCACATTTTTGATTTTTTTTATCAAACGTTTTGTCTATATTTCGACCCTTTAATTATCTATGCTTTTTGCAGCAAAAATGGTTCCCAAACGATATGCAATGTTTTATTGAAGCATTTATTGCTTTATAAACTATAGTTAATATTAAATTTACTTGCTTTTTTCGCGCAAATCCAACAAAACATCCGCCTAATTATCAAACAAATCAGATTTGGCATATTGAATTGAAATAATGAGATAATAACAATACCGCGATCGAAACAACGCGTATCAGCAACAACAAACGCGCAGAAAGGGACGGGAACAAGAGCGTTACGGTGGTGATTATACAACACGGATGAGTTGTATAGCCACCAAACTCGTTCCGAGGTTAACGTTCCCTACAAGTTTAGCTCCCTGTAGGATCTAGTATATGAAATGAAAGTATAAATTTATTTTATTATATAAATCTAAGGACAATTTGAACACATTTTAATGGTATATTCGATACAGATCGGCATTTTATAATAAATTTTGTGACTTGGTAAGGTTCATGTCAACTAAGTCAATTTCTGGTAGGTAACTGTTTATATTATTTATATTTTTTCTCTCACGTTAGTATCTGTCTCGGTATCTATCTTAAGATGATATATATTGCATTATTTTACTTCCTTTTTGAAGAATCTGAGACCATTTCATTGCATCTTTGCATAAAGGAAATTCGAAGCTTTGCATTCATCCTCTTCTTCTTTTTGTGTCCCCTTTATCCTCTTTTCTTGTTCTTAGTAGTTTTCTGCAAACTCTGTATTATTGGATAACGAGCTATCGTCTACCGAAGATTGCCGTTCTGTCACTGCAAGAATCATGAGCAATACACTGACATACAACCACTAATATAACTATGTGTTAGTTGCTTAATTGTCGCTTTGAACTGCGTATTATAACGACTATTAAAACACTAATTCAATCGTGTAGTGGTCGTAAACGCAATATTGTATACGGCTAACCAAAAACTCACAATCAAATTAGAATTTGATACTCTACACTCAGAAGCGCACTGTAAAATTGGAGTCAGAATAAAATTTGCTCTTCAATTTATCTTGGCTCACGCTGTATTTAATTTAAAACTTAGGAACGGCCATTGTTTTCAGAAAACGGGGCTTAATTCAGATTAATTTGTCGTGCGAGATAACGTGTTATTAAAAAAAAACTAATGACAAAGTAGAAGGAACATGTACGTATAGCAGCTGCGATGAACGAACTTAACGACATGTAATACGTAACTACGATATTCATAACGCCACCATTCGTAGAACCCTGGAATACATTCCCATAATATCTAATATCTGATAAATTGCCTATTAAATAAATTAAATTAATTAAAAATATTTGTAGAATCCACAAAGGTGGTTCTGTTATAAATTTCTGTACATAAATATCAAAAGTCAGATAATAAGGGATCTCCCACTATCTTGGGGTTATCAATAACTACCCCAGCCCTACTAGAAAATGGTTTTTTCGGTCATTTGCTATTTTTTGTTAATTCGTGTATATTTACCAGACGTTTCAAGTTTCAGATATGATAAATGTTTTCACTGAGCAAAATCTCACGAACGGTGAAATATGCAATTGAGTTGAGACTGATGAAGATTTGTTACCATTGGAAGATATAGGATGGTGCTGTAGACCAACAACATAGGAGGGACAATGAAGACACAGAAGCTTTAGTAATCCGAATTATTTACTTATCTGCATCACGGCGGTTTTAATTAGTCCGGATTATCGAATTCCTACTGTATATATTTTAATGTTTAGATTATAAACCAAAATATCAAATCAAGAAGCTGAACCGTTTCTATGCTTTATTAGTGACTCGGTGATAGCAATACCATTGACCAATTTTTAGCTATAAAATAAATATTTACGGCTCTGTTTACTGTTTTTACAACATGTGCACCTGACACCTGTCAAGCTATTTTGATTTTACAGCCATACCTCAAATTTTGATAGGTTTAATCTCAGCGGTACGAACAGTTTGCTGGCACTCCATACGAGTAGATTTTTGAGGGAAAATAGGCATAAAAATTGCATTACCCGCACCTGACGTTACTAGCATCGTAAAATTAAAAACTAGTTTCGCCAAAGGCTCTTGCACACACATACGCACAAGCGCGTATTTTTGCATGCGTAATTAGCTACATCCGTTTCATTCAATATGCAAGTGTTACTTTTACGAAAGATTTTGTTCCATTTGCCGCCATAATGGTTGGTTTCTATAAAGTGATGAACTGTTTTTTATCTCTTTTAAAACCGAAAGTTAAACACTGCCGCCGTTAATTTTAAGATTTCCAATTTGACAATTGCCGTATTCACAAGACCTCGTCGAGATTCAGACCACAGACGTTCCGTGATTAACCTAGAAGCCACCAATGATATATATGCTGTGACCAATTTTATGTCATTTTATGTTTTCAAACTACCGGGCGACAAAGTTCCTTTTTCTCATCGGGTTTTTATTAACTCATTCCAAACGTTTTATAAAAATAATTCAAAATTAAAATAGAACACCCTATATTTTATCAACTGTTCTGGAAGACGATAATTAAATACCCATTCCAATTATAAATATTAAGGATTTCACCTCGCTTACCGATTCAATTTATCTACTAGCTGAATGTCAAAACGTGTCATGTTTCATGGAATACACATACACACATATTTATGGAACTCCTGCAAAACCCTTGGTTCAAATATTAATCGCCGACCATTACTATCAACCGTAACAATTTATGTTGAGTTGACAATATCTCATACATAAAAATAGATGTATGTGGGCGCCACAAAAGGAATGAATTCCTGAAACCCGTTTGGAATTTTTATACGCGAATTATGGTCGATTTTGTGAAATTCCCTTCACAAATGATGATTATGATAATGCGACAGTTATTAATACTTAGATCAAAAATGCTACGTTTCCAAATCACACATGAGTGACAAAAGCTGGTGCACAGGGGGCACAATTACTTAGACCATATAGCTATTCGACTATATAGTGGCCATAACTACCAAAAAAATGTACACTTATTCTTGGTAACTAGTGATAGTTTCTAACTTTAGATCAATAATTTAAAACTAATAAATTTATTACGGTCTAATTTTATAACTAATACTAACCTTTCTAATTCCGCTAATACAGACTAATTAGGATGCCATGTTTTAATTATTTAATTAAAAATTGAAACCTTAGGTATATAGAAATGATAGAAATACTAAAAATTTGTAGGTGGGGGATCTGATTGTGATTTAGGACATTATCGGAGGATATTTAAGGAATAGGATTTAAGTTTCTCAAAAAGTTCCTTTTTGATTTTATTTTTATGAGACAGTAATAGGTTCACTGATGGAAATTTTATCTCGAATTTTATTTTGAAAATATTCGGAAATTATTTTAATTATTTGACAAAGCACCATGACAAACTTGAAGTTGTCACGTTTACCATCAATCTTTCTTATTAGTACTACATATTTAGAACCTTTTTTTATAGCATATTTTTGATGATTTATAGAATTTTTATAACATGTTCATACTCAGCTTGTATTCATAAATTGACCTCTCATTTGGAACTTCACGTGAAGCTGCCGTGGTAACTGACATATTTTAAGCTAGATAACCTAGTTCTTCGCTTAGTACTATTTCACAATAAGTTAAATTAATTTAAAGTTCTTTCCGTCTGAAGTGAGTTTATAAATTTTTAGACAGCTACGCAAGTTCAATTAAAATTTAGATGAGTCTACCTGCAAATTTGTTTTCTAGTTTGTTCCCATCATTGCGTGGTTTTGGCCCTATAAAAAGTGAACCTACTCGTAGACAAATATTTTCGAAAAATGCTGGTGCTCAATATTATGTAAATAGGTATATGAGTCGTCACATCGGCTAAAGCTCTGTCATTTATGGAAACGTGATTTACTTTAATTGCCGTTTTTCTCTAGATTAATTCACCAACCAGCAAGATAAACGACAGCCACGCCTGAGAATCCTAGAAATGCTGACAAAAGTCTAACAGTGTTAAGTTAGTTAGTAACGAGGTTAATCATAGTTATGGCTAGAGTTAGTTATACCAAGACTCGTACATACAGCTTTAAGTTTTCAAAAACCGTTTTAGAATAGCCCTATATAACACTGAGGCCAAAAAAAGTCCTAACATTCTATATGCCCTATTCAGTATATTGCGAATAATGACGATTTTCCTTGCATGCCTTTTTTCACTAACTAACCTGCACTTGTTCTGCGCCATCTTCTTTGTAAACAGCGGTTTAGACACACTTAACTCGTTTGCCCAAAACGTTTTAACGAGATCTAGGTCTATTTTGAGAAAATAATCATCTGTCAGCGGCCATATTGAATGTCCAATGCGACAAGGTCATTGGTTAAAAAAGGATTTTTTAATCTCACACATGCGCATGTTGAATGGACCTATATGAACAATACGTATTTCTTTTAACGTAGGGTTCAGTGGCGTAATTCCTAAATATTGTTTACTGTTTTATTCGACAAGAATATAAAAGTCAAAATCGAAGGCCTTTTAATCTACTTAGTCTTAGTGTTTCGAAACGCGTTTCACGAGAAAACGTGAGGTTTCCAAAATTTTCTGTTAAGCGGCAAACACAGTTTTTCATAAAAGGTCGTTTATACTTTCCCGATACCAATACCAAACAACAACAAACGAAGACGAACAATATCTGACCTGGATTTCCCGCGAAATCGTCCTTCTCCAGCAGACTGGACGGCGTCTGGAAGCCGTAGGCCGGCATCCACGGATTGTTGCCTGAATTCAAATCTACCGGCTGTCCCGGCCAATCCTGGAAAGCGACTTCTTCCATCGCGCGTACGGGGCACGTTTAAAAGGACACACATACACACACACACGGTACGTTCACATCTTCAAGAAACTGTGCTCGCGGTCACGCAACGGTACAAAATCTCTCGGAGCGCGGATGTTAAATCTGGCGTAAAGTCGGCACCGGATTTTTACCGTAACGCGAACTTCGACCCCGCGTAAACCACCCGCGACGAAGGGACCGAATAACAATTAACAAAAAAACAAACAATCCCGATCCTACTCGTTTGTGTACATCGGCGTGAGCGCCATGGCAACGGCTGAACGTCTACGTGCGTCACAGAAACCTGCTCGGGTCGAGTGAGATGGCGAGAAACAACGGACGAAAGCTCGCACGGTCTGTACCGCGTGACTCTGGCCAATTCGCGTTCAGAAACTGCGCGCGTCTGCGAGCCGCAGGTTCACGTGTTACCGAGGTAGGAACGTCGCGAGAAGAGAGACAGAGACAGACAAGCGCTCGCGAACGCTCGTCCGTCCACTACCTGTTGTCTTTCTGATCCAATCAGACAGCGGTTATGGTTTGTACCAGTTTTTAATCCGTCGACGATTCTTCTTTCAGTGCCGAACGGGTTTTACAGCCAACATTTTAAAATAAGCTCTAGCTCTAGGACGAGTGTACTAAAAAGCTACATTTGTCATAGAAGACGGTCTGTGGAAATAAATGGTGTACCTCTTTTGTCATTGTTTATAATTTAATAATTTAAATTTAAAAAATGACAATCTCTTTTCTTCTCGGCCTACCTTGATGCAGCTCTGGCTGTTCACTGGCACGATTTCGCAATACTTGACGATATTCAAGATTTTAATTCTGGCACGCCTAAAAATGCTCCCACTTTGGTGTCTACCTGAGTCGTACTAGTCCCAATCACAGCGGAGTACGACGCCGGAGTTTTGTCTGGCTATATACACAGTGAGATTGTCACCAAAATACGGCACAGCAATTAATTAAATGAAAACTAATTTCAATTTACTCGACATAAAAATTATCAAATACAAAAACAAATAAAAAAACAATTCTGAATGGACGGAACACACCTCCCACCTAAAATAACAACATTTTATTCTTCTTCTTCTAGTGCCTATCCTCTATGAATGTTGGCAATCATGTTGGTCCATACTGTCTTGTTAACAGACGCCCTGAATAAATTTACAGCCGTCATTTCCGTCCACTGTTTGATATTTTTCAGCCACGATGTTCGTCTTCGCTCCTGACCTCTTGAAATTTCTCATTACGAGTCACATGCCCAAGGTACGCCATCTTCCTCACTATCGAATTTTGTCTGACTTCGAATTGCTTTTGCATTCGCTGGATTACAGTGTTGTTTATGACATGGTAGGAGTATAATATCCTGAGCATGCGGCGATAGCACCACATTTCAACGGCCTCCGCTTAGATGTAGCATCTGTCAACGTTCAGGCTTACACTCCGTATATGAGCGTGAAGAATACATAACATCTTAGGACCCGTGTTCTTATAGTAATATTCAGGTGCATGTTACATAGAACTTTTCTGAGATGGTTCAACACTGTTCTGGTTTTTTCTATACTGCATTTGATTTGTCGTGTCGATCCCATTCCTTGTTTAGGCTGCAGCCCAAGTACGTTATTTTATCTGTTGTTTCCAAGATTTCATTATTGACCCTAAACTCGTGATATTGTGCATCATCGTTTTTACTGACTACAAGAACTTTGGTCTTCCTGCAGTTGAGCCTTCTCGAAGTCGATAACACAAGCGTAGACATCGCAGTTTACGTCCATGGCCCTCTGCATCAGGATCTGAATAGAAAACAGGGCCTCTCGCGTTTCAATTCCACTTCTAAATCCGAACTGAACTTTGCTTCGAGTTTTCTGTATATACGACAGTGGATGAAGTTAGGTAGGATTTTCATTACATGACTCATCAGACTTATAATTCTTTCATCAGAGCACCTATTAGCATTTGCTTTCTTAGGAAGGGGAATAAATATTGAAACCAGCCAGTCTCTAGGCAATTCTCTCGTTTCATGTATTTTATTAAGTAATATTGTCAGCAGTTTAATTTGGGAGTCTGCCAAAAGGCTTATAATCTCTGCCTGAACATTCCGGTCGCTTTGTTGTTTTTTAAACGTGTTATTGCATGCTTCACTTCGTCGAGTGTTATTTCCAGGTCTGCGTCAGCACGCATAGAGGTTTCTGTCCATTGTTCTTTCTTTTTATTAATAAGAACGTTTTATTAATAACAGAAAAAAAGAAAATAATTAAAAAGAACAGTGATAACAATTTCGATGCCCACGTAAATTCAAAGCTTAAACATTAATAATTAATATATTGTCAAACATTAATAATTATTATATTGGCAAAGGACATACCTTAAAAACTGAACATTTGAGAATATCCTAGATCATGCATTGGATCTACGGTACCGCGGTAGTGCCTATGCTCACGCATGGGGCCGTGGCATGGTGACCGCGAACCAAAAGAGCAGGAGCAAGACTAGTTTTTGATAAATTGCAGAGATTGGCATGACTCTGCATAACAAGGACGGCACCCACGAGGGTCTTAGAGGCTCTGGTGGGTCTGCCCTCGCTGGCGGATCGGGTGCGGATGGAGGCGGCCAGGACAGCTGTAAGGGTAGCGAGCTTCGGGCTCTGGAAGGAGGGAACCTTCAAGCGGAGCCCGTACGACATGTTAGAGGGCTGACTCAGGGATCGCATTATCATGGGCATGCCGAATGACTTCATGACAAATGGACCTTTCTCTTCCCATCAAGGGAGGAGTGAAGAGAAGGCAGAGCTGCCTCCTGGGATAGACTCGTCTGGTACAGGGACGAGTCCAGGATGGGAGATTTGGCTGGAGCTGGAGCGTACTGCGAGAAAACGGGATCGAGCTTGTCGGTCCCTCTGGGTACTGCACCGTGTTTTACGCGGAAATTTTCGCTATATTGATGGCGGCCAGAGAAATGGTTCGGCTCAACCACGGTAGGATGAGAGTATTCTTCTGCTCTGACAGTAGGGTTGCACTTATGGCGCCAAAGTCAGTGCTACGAGTACTTGTTGATAAAAGTTTGCAAAGGGGTACTGAGGAAAGTTGCCGAGGTGAGGACTGTCACGTTGGTCTGGGTCCCCCGGGTCACACCGGGATCCGGGGCAATGAGGCAGCGGACGCCTTTATATATTCGGGAAGGACTTCAAATTATACCAGTGTTTCGTAGAGTTCAGTTTTTTCCTTGTTATAGCAGAATATTTGAGTTTGCTTAATTAATTTTAAGAGAGCTTGCTTGAATTCAGATAGAAAAAAACGTTCATTTAGCACTAGTGTTGGATTTTTAGCGTTAGAGATGAAGCGCATTATGTAAACGAAAATGCAATTTAATTTTGATAAAGATGAGAACCCACCTGTCACGCTATCCCAGTAACGACTCTCTGTAGTCGAAATAGTAAGGGTCGTCTTTCAAATTTCTAACGTCACACAAGCATTGAAATTTTCTTGAATGGGGCGACCATTGATTTGGCACCCAAGAAGTCTTTGTTTGGTTATTTAGCACCGCTCGTACATAAATTACAGCGACGTAAGCACTTTCATAGCTACCACCACACATCCGAGGAATAGTTCAAGAGGACAAGATTTGCAAATTCTTCTTGTATAAGGTCCACGTGGAAGACACGGACTCTGGATCAAGTTCGCTCCATTCTATTACAGAAGACCATAGTTTCTGAATAAGTAATTTGATAAAGACAATAACGGGAGCTAAGAATCCGAGAGGGCAGAATATTCGTGACAAATCGAACAGTAGGTTACGGTAAGTGTGCATGGTGTCTGGGATTAATTTTATATATCTGAATTGGGACACCATTGCAGACCCAAAATTTGGGAGAGCGAGTTATCGAAATTGGAAATAAGAAGAGAGAGAGAGAGAGTTGAAAACGCCCTAAGGCAAGGAGATCGATCAATTCCTTTTGAAGGCTCAAGATTGCTTCGACATAATCGGCTCCTGACAATGTGTAATCAAGATAAACGTTAGTTTTTATAACCTTGGAAGCTCGAGGAAATTGATCTTCGTGATCCTGAGCCAGTTGGATTAGAGTTCTAATGGCATGAAAAGGAAGAGATTCCGTAAGTGACAGCATTAAGTCTACAATCCGTTGATAATCTCTGTGGGTTTTCGACACCAGTATCTGCCTAAACACCTGCTTTATATCTGCCGTAATAACGACAGAGTGAGTGACAGTGAGGTAAAGAATGTATCGACCAGTATTATCTCGAGAGTAAGTTTCAACGAAGATTTTTTCCGCAGCCAGATCTTCAAAGGACTGGACATTTATTTGAGGAATCTGTTCGAGTTGCCAGAATTTATTTTCGAGTGAAAATGTAGAGGTGAAATAAAGGTTATTTTTGGGGAGTGTTGCTGGTGCTGGTGATGTTGGTACTCAACCTGTAATAATCCAACCCAGGTGTGTATTAATAGCCACAGGTTCATTGCTAGAGTGAAAAACAGAGCGTTCTTTAAAGAGAAATCCAAATGCGTCGCAACCAATGAGAGTTGAAATATTAAATTCATCATCTGCTAGGTCTAAGTGGGAAAATTTACTAAAGTTAAAAATCAGTAAATCAGAACTGGGCATGTTATCGCAAATTTGGGGTATAACTGCAAAATCAAGGGTTATTCGGGGTTCACTGGACATTCGAAGAATAACCTTGCAAGTGACCTCTTGAGAAGCGTTCGAGGTGGTATCTCCGAAACATTTTACAAAATGTGAGAGAGGTTTCCGAGTAAGTCCAAGCCTGTTAGAATATTTAGATGTTATAAGGTTCACTTCACTGTCACTATCAAATAAAGCTCGAATCGGTCTGTAGTAACCAAGGGAGTCTAAAACTTTGATTTAAGCGATACCTAGAAGAACTGAAGCCGCTAAAGTTAATGTTCATTAAAGTAACTGATTGTGTTCCTGCATCACATTTGTTAGGAACACTATTTGAACTAGTGTAAGCATTATTATTATTAGTCAATCTTCAAAACTGCCCAGCAACGGCAACATCGCGAGCACCGTAAAAAAAGGTTGTCTGCAAAAAAGGGATCGGCGCTGTCGACACTTCAGAGAGACCGCGGGACGCTGGATCTCGACATTACAACCCGGGCTAGCAAACGTTAAGCTTCGTTATTCATTTTCATATGTTTTTTCCTTTGTTTGTTAGTTGTAAAAGTTTGTTAAGTTGTAAAAGTTAATAAATAAAGTTTTACGAAACATACAGTTCACTCAATCGAACAAGAATCAGCGCAGCAAATAACGTGGACCTACGTTAAAACCCACCAATTATTATTATTGAACGTACACAGGATGAGCACTCGAATGCGGTATGTTTTAAACTCTGACATCAAATCTTGTAATAAATTTAAGTATCTTGGAGTAATTTTTGATAGTCGGGGTAAACTTAGATCACTTACACCAATTATCATATTTTTTACAAAAATTTAAAATTTAAACCAACTTATAACCTTGTACTATGCGCCCGCTCAATCGCGTTTATATTACGGAATTTTAGCATGGAATGGGTTAACAAACAAATATTTACAGGGAATTAACAATTCAAAAAAAATTCAAATCACAAAAGTGTTATCCTACAACACAATTTTTTAATGAATCAGGTATGCTCGATGCAATACAACCCTATTTTCAAAAAATAACAGTCCGAATATTTTTGATTAAAATTAAAAAACAGATTGAACAAAGTCACTATCAAACCTAAGGTATCTAAAACAATTGGACAGCGATGTTTCCTTTATATCTCTGCAACAGTTTCACAAAAAAATAGGATTGTAGATTATGATGTAGAACACTTTCATTATTTAAAATCAGATCAAAAACATTTATTAAAACTGAAATAATTAGAGATGAAATCCATAGTATAAAAGATTTAAAGGACAACTAATAATTTGAAGTTTATTAATTTCATCCATTTATTTATTATTTACTCTGTATGCTAACTAGGTTGAAATTAGTAATCTAAGAGTTATAATTTATTTACTAGGGACAAAATCCAGAATTACTAGTGTTTTTTCTTTTATTTTTCCAGTTTTTTTTGGTTCTACCTAGGTTTTAAAAAAAGTAGTTTATAGTTTTACTAATACTATCCTGGGGAAGCATTCAGGATGTATGGTCTTTTTTCCACCTGCGGGGTTACTCTTGTCTAATGAAAACTGTATTTATTGTGTTCGTGGGATGTATTGGACTTGAATTATAACACTGTATTTGTATTTTATGAGAATAAATGCTATATAATAATAATAATAATAATAATAAAAATCTGTAGCGTGAGTGCCGAGAAGCGTCTGGCCCGCCAGTGAGCTTGACTGCCGTTTTTTTTTTTACGAAGGATGAATTCGTAGGGAGATTTAGTGGGCATATAAATGGAAATGATTTAAATTTTATAATCGCAAATTTTTAGTGAGTGGTGGTTAGCTTTAGTTAGTTTCGGATATGTTTGGTTTTGATCTGTCTGTAAGTACCTAATACTTTCCTGTATTTTCTACCTAAATAACCACTAAATCTTCAGGTATTAAACATCATTTCCGGGATATTACCGCACTGGTTTGGGAGCAATCAGATGTTTTCGAAGATGTTTCCCACGCCTTCAATTTTGACGTTTGTCAATTCTGACGGTCATATAAATTGGTTAAGGCTTTCGCGGCCCGTTGATAAGCTATTATCTTGGTTCGAGTTTAAAGGCCGTCGTCGATTGGAATTACTTCCTAACGTTTCGCTAGCACGAGTGGCGAGTTTCTTCAGAGGTCCTTCCATCTCCGATGTTGGACGTAGACTGTCTACGACTAACAGTCGTAGAGAAAGTATAGTACGCAACATAATCTGGTAACCTTTTTAAGTCACCCATTTACTAAACACTCTTAATTAAACTCGTGACTCAAATGCCGTTTGCCACACCTGTGTACTTTGGACTGTCACCCGATATGTTACGGCAGCCAAATATAGGGGGCTATGAGCCATCTTAGAGAGGCTTGGAGCCGAAAGCCAAAAGAAGATGGACTAAGGCGACTTACTTTATCTTGAAAGCAGTCATAAGGACATTCTCAGCCGCGCCATTACAAAGACGTCTACCAAAGGAGACTGGGTTAAATGACTTCGATCTCTAAAACTTTATCTTCAACATCCACTGTTTGATATAAGCCTCCCTTCCTCTCCTCCACGATACTCTGATACCATTTTTCTGGGGAGTCTACCGATTCTTCTTTTTCACGGTCTTGGCCTCCATTGCTTTATGCGTCTTGTCCATCGTGTGTGATCTTGTCTGACAATGTTTCCGGCCTAGGTCCACTTCAATAATGCCACTCTCTCTATTAGATCCTCCATTTTCGTTTGTCTTCTGGTCTCCTCGGTACGTATATGCTCTCGAAGGTTGATGCACCAGCATTATTACCGTGTTCTATTCTGAGTTTATTAGCCTCTCCAGAAGTCAAGGTTATCGTTTCCAATGCCTAGGTGAAGACTGAGGTATTCTAAAGAACGATGTTAAGCTTGCTAGTACCGGCCCAAGCCATTTTCCGCACCTAGTTTTATTTGGTGACCCAAATAAATGTAGCCTTCCACCCTTTCACTTATTTGATTGTCTATCTGAACCAGTGTTATTTCCAGTGTGAGTATTTTGGTTTTGGTTAGGTTCATTGTCAAGCCTACTCTCTCCGAGGCTGATTTGAATTTGGAGAGCATTGGCACGATGACGTCTGTAAAGCGGAGATGGCTTCAATAGCGGCCATCAATATTTATACCCTTGTATACTCCCAGCTAAGTTGTTTGAAAACGTATTCTCACTCTGATGTAAAGAGGTTTACCGATACATTTTATGTAGCGGCTGAGGAAATACCAGAACCAGCTAAGAAAAGGAGTAAATTGTTACACTTGGGTGGCACTCAACTACAAAAGGTCGTCTGCAACCTGCCGGGAGTAATACCACAATCAATACAGCTTGCACAATTACAAAAAGTGACAATACATTAGCCAAAGGGAGAATGTAATATTGAAATATCAATAATTAATTATTAATAAGAATTTTCAGTATTAAGTAGAAACGTAAATTAAATTTTATTAAGCGGCGAAAGTGGAAAAGTTGTGGAAAATTACTGCAACAATTTCAATCAACAGATATGACGGATATAACTCTAAGCGAATCAGCAATGTTGCATTTTTCAACATTTTCAAAATAATGATTATATCTACTATAAAATTTTCTCAGGAGTCCAGAAGTGAAGTAATATTCACGATGTTCCATTTAAAGTATCAAAGTTAGGTTCCATGAGAAACTAATGAGATACCTTGTATAATGGTAACTATTTTCAATAGACGCAGCTCCTTTATGAAAACATTTAAAATATTCGATACGTATGTATATAAATTGGTTGATCGATTAATCAAGGCACCCACGAGAGATATTTTGAAGTTTTGCCCTATATTGAGATTTATTACGAGTTGCTTCGTGGCGTTTTATTTGTTAATTACAAAAATAAACAAAAAGAAAAAACGTGGACATATTAATTCCTACTAATACTAATACTAATAGAAAATAAATAATGACAACGATATGGAAACAATTTATTTAATTTTGTGAAGAAGAGCCAACTAGAATAGCTGAATTCCTCCTACGTCCGTTATTTATAAACAACCGTAGAGAGTAATAGAGAAACCTCAAGTTTTTTGAAAATTTAACATTTTTTGTAATATTATTGTATTAAGGATCGGCACGATGATTGTGGACATTCTTGCTAGTAGGTTTTGGAAAATATAAAATAGCTTCTTTAGGAGCTTATTTAGTTTGAAAACCATATAGCCATTAGTGGTTTTACTACAGTAAAAATTGATACGTGTAGCATACGGCATTGCGATTTTCGTAGCAAGGCAACTAACCAAAACTAACATTAACGTGCACTTTGCGCCATTATCTGTTTAAACTGCGATTTCCACACACTTAACTCCTTTTTCCTAGAACATTAAACAAGATCTAGGCATATTTTGAGAAAGTACTGTCGTAAAAATGTCATATCTAAATTTGTTGATGATTTGTCGGCGGCCATATTGGTTGTTGGAAGTTTATAAGTTCATTTATTATCGGCATAATCAGGGCCTCTATATCAATAGTATTTATATGTTCAAAACATATACCGAAATATTTTACGCCTAGAATGCCATGGATCTGTTTTTGAATCTCCCTCCTCTACTATTCCGCAATTAGTACGTAAATCGGCCTTTAGATGGCATATTTGTCACTTTCTATTTCTCGTAGATGAAGTTTTGGTAAGCGTGGCTAATCAAGGCACTAAAAGGTAAATATGATATTTCCGAGGGATTTCTGGATTTTACGGCGGTATTTTTAGTATATTTTTGAAATTCCGCCTCTTTAGCTATTTTTTAAGTGAGGTTTGGTTCGGCAAGGCGTTTCGCAAACGTCAACAGCAAATAGAAAGGTTTGTTCGATTTATTTCGGCGAGTACTTCTGTCCTTGTCCGACCTAAGCGAATGCCACCATGTGTCCTTCTTTTTTAATCGGGGAGATGTCGTACGGTCGTCGGCTATTGCTACTTTTACGCACTGACAATTTAGGAAAATTAATGTTTGAATTTAGCTTTCTTGGTTTCTTTTAGAAAAATGAGCAGCTCGGAAGAAGTATCGTGGATCTCCTGGTTTTGCGGCTTGAGGGGCAACGAATTCTTCTGCGAAGTAATTGAAAACGATGGGATGCCATCCATGTACCTGATACAAACATGTGTTTTAGGTTGATGAAGATTACATACAAGATAAATTCAACTTAACGGGCCTTAACGAGCAAGTGCCCCATTATAGACAAGCCTTGGATATGATATTGGATTTAGAGCCAGGTACAGGTACCAGAAATTCATATTTATAAACTAGAAACAACAGAGCTTGCTTTTAGATGATGAACTGGATGATAATCCAAACCAATCGGATCTTATTGAGCAAGCTGGCGAAATGCTCTACGGATTGATTCACGCTCGGTACATTTTAACAAATCGTGGAATAGCGCAGATGATTGAGAAGTATCAAGCAGGGGAGTTTGGGCATTGCCCCAGAGTTTATTGCGAATCCCAGGCCATGCTTCCCTTAGGGCTGTCAGATGTTCCTGGTATGTTATTTCAATTAAGTAAATTTGAAATATATTTTACTTTCTGTAGGAATCAATTACTGTTCTCTTTTCTTTTGGCCAAGTTCTAAGTTTCCTTACCGCGGCTCAGTTTCTCGCTTTGGATAAACTAAAATTCTCCAAAAGGTTACTTGGCTTGGATGGATTTGTAGATCGCTTTAAAATTTGTGATGCTATTCTTTAAGGTTTTAACATTTTTTACAACTGGTGCAGTAGGCAGTTTTCAATGGGTTTTTTCTTACAAATGGAATCCATAAATAAATAATAGACTGTATTATTAATTTGAAAATCGCAAAAGTACAAAATATGCTTTCAAAATGAGCTTTGAATGTCATTTTCTTGTTTTAATGATTTTTTTCAAGTAAACAAATTTTACTACGGCTCTTTTATCAATGTTGTTATTATTTTAGGAGAAGCGATGGTGAAGACTTATTGCCCTAAATGTATGGATGTTTACACCCCGAAATCGTCCCGTCACCATCACACTGACGGTGCGTATTTTGGCACGGGGTTCCCACATATGCTGTTCATGGTACACCCGGAATATCGACCTAAACGACCCACGAATCAGTTTGTTCCTCGGTATGTGCCGAAAACTTTGTTTTCCACTGCCAGAAAATTTCTAATCATCCTTACCTTGTAGACTCTTCGGGTTCAGAATCCATCCTCTCGCTTATCAGCTGCAGCAGCAGGCTGCGTCTACATTCAAGACGCCCATTAGAGTAATAAACTTCAATAACGCGAAGCGTTAAAGTAGATAGAACAAAAACCAGACAAGCAGGGATAAAAAGGGAAATACAAAAATCGTGCACTAATGTTGGTGTCGAAGGGGTACATACAAGATTTGCTAACTTTTTTAAAAACATCTTCCTTATGGATTCCCTCTAAAATTTGTTTTTTCATTTTTGATTGAATAATAAAATTTGGTCCACTGTCTAATTGCATAATCTGATTTTAGAAACATGGTGTGTTTTAAATTCGTTGAAATTAAGTAACCATCCAAAAGGTAATAATTGTAATAGAATTTTTCTGTTATTGTAATTAGGTTAGTATTTATGTTGTATAATTACCAATTAATTAATGTATAAGAAGTACGATAAAGTTATTACAATAATTGTAAAGTTCACGTTTTTATTTTTGATTTGTCATGTCGTATTCTTTTTAAACAACACTAGCATTATGGAAAGGAATTAGCCAAAAGGTTTAAAAAAAGATGCATCTGCAAATCATATATTTAAAAACCGTAGGTTTATCAGGAGGTATTGTTGCTCCATATTTATTTTAGTTTGACTCAGAATGTTAACATAAAATTTGCTACAAAGCTTAGCTCTTTAAAAAGTCTTAATAGATCATGTTTTCAAATTATTATATAGATGTTGTTGAAACTGGTTAAAACAACTTCGAAAAGTACAACTTCAAATGTTTTGAGGAAGTTCAAGGCATTTTTGTAATTCAAAAACTAGTGCTTAGAATTATTTACAAAATATCCCCTAGACTCATTCAAGAGCCAATTTGAATTTTAACATATTTAAAACAAATGACTTTTATTAGTTCATTATAACATCAAGTTAAAATAGTGATGGCTTAAACATTTGATTTTGTTTTACGGTATGTTTGTAAGATATTAAAAAAGACAAAAAAACAAAAATATTAAAATAATTTTACAAAGGCAAAAACTTATTTCTTGGTAAATTTAACAATAGTTTTTCACATGTAACTTGATGTAAATTGTGAAATAAACTGCTATGGGTGCTTATTTCTCAAGCTAGGGCTATCTGTACATTTGAATTACTCAGCACCAACTGCTACTTGCAAAAAAAAAAACAAAAAATGCTACAATTTATTTGTACAAAAAAAAACAAATTAGAATATCAAAAAAACATTAATAAATTCACCTCAAATTGTCAACGATGACTTTTGTTTATTGTACAATATCATGGTAGGCATCGATACAAAAATATTCCTTATTATTTAAGAAATTGCTTATTTCATACATACAAATTTACAGAAATATCCAAAAGAAATTTAGGACCATAGTTTATTTGGCAAATCTAGATCTGGATGCCCCATAAAATATTTTCCAAGTATTACTCCAAAAGTTTATATTAATATAAACATCCCTACAGGTTTGAGACAACAATCTTAATAAAAATAATAAAAAAATTGCCACAATTTTTACGCACATTTACACAATGATCGAGTGAAAACATTTGAACGCGAAAATTTGTTGCCTAAATTAAAAATCTTTTAAATTTAATTATAGACTTTAGCAAAAACACACAATTTGTTTTAGGTCTCAAAGAAATTGCGATAAAACTCTCCTGGGAAACAAAATGCGGTCTTCCACCATAAACGCCACAGACATGTTAAGAAGCATTGTGTATTTTGATACTGTAATTCAACTTTTGACTTCTAAAAACTACTGCATTAGAATGAAATTAAATATGATTATACGGGTTTTTCCACCCAATCCGTTCATTAAAAGTGACAAGTGTAATTTTTTAAAAGTTTCATTGTTCTGCCACTTCCGCTTCCATCAGAAGTTACAGTCAACTTGCTTATTTCGCATGGAACGTTCTATATATTATTACATTTTGAAATCCTGTCTGAAATTCTAAACATATTTTACGTATTTACGTTTTCGAAATAGTTTAACTTGAAAAAAAAATTGCACCTCCGGCTTAACCATATTTTATCCTCATATTTGGCACAATCTTAAACCATGGGCTTAGGTGTACTTTTTTGTTGTTTATTTTTATACAGAGTGTTCAAAATTAGGCCGCCGCTTTTTTCAACCCTGTAACTTTAAATGATATCAAATTCAGAACTTATTTCTCTATCAAACTGCATTATTTGAAAAAATTAGGTTTTTTGGTGGACTAGTATTTGTTTGGTTAAACATTTTCCTTTCACGTACTTGGCTGTGGAAGATCAATTACTTCGTTTTGTTGGCAAATATGACAACTACTAATTAGTATTGTATAATTTGAATATAACAATTGTTTTTCCGTATCCAAGTACGTGAAGGCCAAATGTTCAATCTGGTTCAGAATAGGTATGTTTGCGGCCTAACTTTGGACACCCTGTATAAAAGTAAACGACAAAACATAAACTTAAGCCTTTTGTTTAAGATTTTGCCAAAAATGCATGGTAAAAGTTAGTTGAGCCGTTATTTTTCCACAGTCAAGATTAGACATAGGTATAGGACATTTATACATAAAATATGTTTAGAATTTCACACAGAATCTCAAAATGTGATAAAAAGGAAATTTATAGGAACTTCCGGTTGAACCGGAAGTGACAGGACGAAATATTTTTAAAAAGAAGTATACTGGCACTTACTTTAATCCCAAAAATTGAAAGGTGTTAGTAAATTCCATTTCAACAAACTTTATTGAATAGCAGATATTTTTCCCGATTTAATATAGTTCAAAAACGAATCAAATATGGCAAAATCTGTAAAGCAGGTTAAACGACATATTGACTGCAGGATCGGGAATAAATTTGAAAAAAAAAGTGAAGGTATGGCACAATTTCAATATTCCCAAAACTAAGTTTTCATCCAACGCCGTTCCTCCCTTCTTTCTCCTTTGGGTTAAATGGAACATAATCAAATAAAATAAAAGGATTGTATGTAACTTTACGTTTGAATGCAGTGTGTTCAATATACATGAAGAGCTCTCTTTAAAGGTTAGTACAGGGACCTCGAAAACTATAGCAGGGACGAAAAGTTTAAAAGGGCAAAAAATTGCAGTTTTGTAAGTTTAACTCAAACCATTTTAAGTTTTTCAAGATTTGACAGCCGGAAATAGATATTTAACAGAATCTTATGAAAACTATAAATTATAAATACAAAAGTTTTAAGAAATTTTATTCCTAATAAAATGACATAAAATATTTTTCCTCACGCTCGTCATTTAGGATATACGAAAAAAAACTTACGCTTTTTCAAGTAGAAACCCTATTAAATTTTTTCTTTATTAAATAGAGAATCTTATTACAATTTGAGCGATATAGCAGGTGATAGGGTTATTTTGAAAAATATATTTTTATGAGCGTTTTTGTTTTTAATTTTCGTTTTAGCTTAACCTTGTTAACCTAGTCTATTGAAAAAGTTGATAGCTGAGAGAGGTGTTGAATTTTGTAAGTGGCTTGGGAATATGTACTAGATCAAGATTTTATGGAAAGATGAAACAAGATTTGCCAATTGTGGTATTTTTAATCGTCATAATGAACATTTATGGTTGCAAGACAACCCACGTCATAACGAACAAAGAAGACCACAAATCAAGTTCGGGTTTAACCTTTCGTGTAGTGTTGTGGGCTCAACAATTCTTAAACCAGTTGTTTTCGAAGGTAGTTTAACATTTTGCACACTCGTTAAAACTTACAGTGGTATCAAAATGATAGCGGCCTCATCCTATAATTTTCAACTAATTAGAAATCGCTAATTTTTTTGTGGCGAGTTGTAAAAGGCAAGGTTTACAAATAAACCTATGCTACAAAAAAAAACTTCAAGCTGCTGTAAAAGAGACTTTTAATAATATTGATGTAAGAAAAGCAACCAATTCAGTTTTAAAATTAAAATTTAATTATCTTTTCTAAAAACTAAATAAATTAATATTGCTATTTATTTTATGTAAGATTTAATCTGTTTTCCATGATAACCAGATCAACAATTGTTTTTTTTTTTCAAAATAATCCACGTGTAAACCATGTTCTATATCGTTTAATTTAATTAATTTATTTTTTTATATAACAAAACCCTGACATGACCAACTAACGTCGCCATTTACAAATGTACATTAAGAATTATCTTGATTCGAAAGAGTAAGTAAAAATATTTCTAAACAAAAGAAAAAAAAATAAGAAAGCAGAAATAAATAAAATTTAGTATGAGCGAAAAACTCTAGCTGCTTGATGCCTATTTTAAACGTTATAATATCTGCTATGGTTTACGATATGCCCATACGAAACATACAAAAAGTCACCCTTATCAATATCAATTATCAATATCTCGCAGCAGATTAATTGTGACATGTCATTTGGGCTAAGATTTTTCGTACATGCAAATTTTGTAAAAGATATAAATGTGTGTTATTTTGTTCATATAATCGTAACACGGGATCAGATAAGTAGAAATATCTCGCAAAAAAGCTTAAAATCAAAATTTTACAAACGACAAGAAACTTACACAACCTCATTTTTTATTAATTTAAGCTTTTTTTTAGTAAAACCCACAGAGAAACTGTGTTTAAAAAAATCGTGATATGCACCGAATTTCCAAAAGATATCTCGAAATACACCTTACAATAATGCATTCGAAAAAGTTAACTAGTATACTTAAAACAAAACTTTTTGAAAAATATTTGTTATTGAATAAAAAGTGTCAAATGCCAATTTAAAGGAAAAAATTGTATATGCTCATAAAGATACACATTTAATATTTTCGATTATCCAAGGTGACGGGGGGGGGGGGGGGGGAAGTCCGTCGATGAAGGTGAAAATTCTTTCTGCCGCAAGTCTCAATGTATGACAAAAATTTCGCTTTCGATTTAACTCAAAAAAGGCTTTTTTTTTGCCCATTCGTAGGCGATCTTATCAAGGATTATATTTAAACAGCCTGCATTGCAACTTAAAATTGCACTAGCAAGATGCTGCAGCCGCTGACCGCCCTTTCGCCGTTTACCCTTAAATATCTGTAAAAATAAGAGGCACCCCAGCACAGCCCTCGACAGCTTATCCACTTAGAGGACGAAACTTGGCAAGTAGCAGCGGCACGTTACGACTCGTGCTTGTTGACTCCTCTGTTTGTATTACTACCGTTGCTTCCCATTTGATTCTGCTGATGTTCCAGCAGCTGGGCCAGCGATTTTGGTCCGAAACCGCCGAACAATGAATGCTGGGGATCGTAGTACGCATTCTCGACGTTTTTATTGCTCCTAAGATGGCTGGGAAGATTTGGCGTCCAGCTATTGTTGAACAACGAGTAGCCTTGCGTCTGTTGATCCTGCGGTGGCGCCATCTGCAATGAGTTTCAACGTAAGGATGCAGAAAACACGATGTTTTTGTAATTTGTCATGATAAACCCCACATTAAACGAGTGACTGAGAAAGTCTATCAACGTGTTGCATGCTATTAAACTATTGTTTTTATGATTTTTTCTCTTGGATCATTAGTTTTTGGGTACATTTAAAGTACGTATGTACGTACGTAGAGTATGTTCATGATTAACGTTGTCAAGTCTTATCGCAATCAGTATATATATGATCTAATTGATTTTTTTCATTATAGATTCGTTATTGTGTGTGTGCAATGAATGTTATAAAAAAGATATCAGCATTATATCAGTATAGAATGAACTTCAACATCACTGTAACTGTTCAAAATGTCTAATTTGTAAGGTATGTGTTTTCATGACCTTATGCGTGACCAAATTGAAGCGAGTCCTTATGCGCACCATACACAAGAGACCAGATACAAGAAGCACATTCGATATGAGGATGCAAAAGAGAGCAATACAAAATGTTTAACCCATTTACCCTCGTGACGTCAGTCAAGTTTCAGAAAAACTTTATCAACTGCATTATTAACATTATTAGAAAAGTGATAACTTTTAGAATATGTGTTTTGTAATTCAGTATTAAGTCCAGTTTTAAGTTGGCTGTGTCATTTATTTTCCAGACAACATACATCTGAAAAACAGTGTATTGTTGTGGACAGGTAATATCTTTCTTAGTTTAAATAGAACACAATTGAGATTTGTTTCCATATTATTTTAAAATAAATAAACAAAGGGTGAAAAAGCACCCTATTGACATTCGGCACCCTGTATAAGAAAGGCTTTCAGTCAGAGAAATCCCTAGATAAATTTATAGACTTCCAAACGACATTTTTGAGATAAAATTCAAAATATGCGAGAAACAGTAAGGTTTAGGTATGGGAAATATATCTAGAATTTTTCGAAAAATTTAAAAACTATTCAATGTACAGGGTGTGTTATAAAAGTCTTGGCCTAATGTTCTATTTCAAAATTTCTATGACCTCTACACTTACGTTTTGCTGGGTGTGAACCATCCGCCCCATATTGCTCTGGTTGCCTCCCGGCAAATTGGCTTCCTTCAGCATGGCCTGCCTCATCGACATCGACGACTGGACGCCCTCGGCGTCGCCGGCAAAGTTGCCCCTGTTCCAGGTGGGCGGAAACACGTCGAACTGCCCGACCGTACCGCCGCCGTTCTGATACGGGGGCGGCCCGAACGACGAGTAATTAAACCCGAAACCTTCCTGCCGCTGCGGGGGAAACCCTACGCTCTGGTTGGGATAGTTCGGAAAATTCGAAGCCTGTTTCTGGCCAGCGGCGGCGAAACTCTGCCCCGCCCCCGAATAGTTCTGACTTTGAACCGTGAAACCCGCCGGCGCGCCGAACCCACTCTGCGACGGACTTTGACCCCACCAGTTGCCCTGAGACTGCGTCTGCGGGGCCATTTTTACTTCCTCCCTGCTCCAGTTGTTGAATTGGGGCGGGGGAACGTTGAAAGGGGGCGGATAGTTAGGCACGTTCACTGCTGCCGATTGTTGATTCGACGCCGCCGTCAGGTTGGAAAACGCGGGGTTCTTGCCGAACTGTGGCATCAGCTGGGGCGGCTCCCCTTTGCTTAAGTTTCGCAAACTGGTAAGGTAGTCGGATTGAGGGGGCGGTTGTTGCGGCTGCTGCTGGGGAGGAACCAGGGACTGGTGCGGAAACGCCGGGTGATTTTGGTTAAACGATTGGGTTCTGAGCGGGGGAGGAGCGTTGCCGAATTGATTACTTGGAGGCGGAGGTATTATTGGCTGCTTTAGCGGAGGCGTGTCGAATTTTACCGTCTTTTCCTTATCATCCGGTTCTTCCACGTTGAATTTTACCTGCACAAAAAGAACCGCCCTTTATCAGTCCACATAATGAATGAATAAACATCCATTATAGTTATATTATTTATTTAAGCAAATATGGTTGCTCCACAGACTGCTTATAATAGAGGTATGAGCAATCTCAGTTGAAGGTTATAGAAATGCTGTTCCTAATAAGGACATCAGATGCATAGAGACATTAAAATAAGAAAATATATAAGAAGAACTGAATAATGAGAAAAACTAAATACCTTGGTCACATTTTTCGAAATGAAAAATATAATACATTATAGTTCTGGAGAGGCAAATTAAGGAAAAAAGCAGAATATGGCAAAAACAAATGTCTAGTGATATGATATGTCAAGGTGTTGACATATCACATGACTTAAAGAGTGAATATCAAAATTTAGGGATACAATAAAAAAATATTTGTGATAATGGCGGAAGCATAGTAGTAAAAAAAAGATTTGAATGTATACTGGGAAGTTAAAAACACTGATTCAAGATTAAAATATTCTCCTCCAGATTCTTTCTTGAACACCAGCATTGCCAATTAGACTCCAGAACTGTTTACTTGCAGGTCGTTAATTAAAGTTTGTTCATACACATATAAGCTATGGGTAAGCCTGAGTCTGCAGTTTATTTAAATCACTCCGTATTTTGGAAACAATGCATTTCTGGTCCAAAATTTAATAAATAATAAAATATTCTAAGAAATCAGTGATCAAGTGATTTTTTGTAAACACTCAGTAGATCTATGAATAGGACGCTGCAATTAAGACGGGCCAAAAGTAAAATTATTATACCTGCTTATTTTCTTCGATTTTCTTGAATATGCTTTGCAACGCGACATTCTGCTTAGTTCGTTTCGTTTTCGTCGAGTCACTGATTTTTTGAACATCCGGCAAAGTCATCTCGGATTTTTTAACCTCTCTCTCTTCCCTCGCCCGTTCGAGGGATCCTTGTGGCTTTAAAATGCCCGCTTTCTTTTCCAGAGCTGATGGAGAAAAAAAATATTTTTGAAGCTATTTATGTGCGATTACCAGGGCATACCAGAAGCCTTATTAGTTTCGGATACGCCGCTAATAGTGAACGATTTCATCACTTCCAAGAGGTCATTTGTGGGATCCGGTTGAGACAAAACTGGCTCAAAATCATATATTCCATTACTCTCGCTTCTAAAACAATTGTTTAACTCTTACAGTAGTACAAAACTATAACCATCGGACCTAGAGTAAGTTTAAAAAATAGACTACCATAAGAAAATGCGTATTTTCATGAACATATGTAAACAGTGATTTCAAAGTAATGAGAAACTTTTTTTTTAAAATACCCTCATAAGAAAAATGTGGGAGGGAGACCAGTGATTTTCCAGCAACATTGTACCAAAGTTATATTAAATCAGTTATTAGTAATATAACATTCAAAACTACCTTGTAATCAATTTGGCGCCGTCTACATCAAAATCACTCAACCAAATCGCAAAATTAATGATCCTTTTCATTCTAACCATATCTTCAATTTTTTTATCTTCAATTTCCTCCTTGAAGTTGAATTCCATAAAATTTCTCGCCAACGGTAAGAAACCCTCGAGACTTTTATCCTCCCTAATGGGAGACTTTGAATCTAAAATGTTTTTGCTTGAAAAAAGTAGTTGTTTGAACACAAAATTTCCACTTACAAATGCTATAGTTAAAACCTTTCAAATTAATTTGAGCGGAATTAACGATTTTGCATAAACTTGGCCATATCTGCATCCGCTCTTTAAAAACTTTGCATTTCAACACGTCCGGTTTATTTTGAATGAAGTACATAAGGAATTTTACTAAAAAGATGAACAATTACTTGACTAGTCTAATCGCATACAAATTAAACTAGAGACATACCAAAAATAACATCACAATATAAAAAAAAATCTCATAAAAACAAGATAATCTAAACTTAGATAGCGCATTTGAACTACACTCATTTTCTCTGATGCAACTGACAGCAAATTTTTCACTACAAAAATTATTGAATGCTTATGAATATCAGCAACTAATGGAAATTATATTCAACAGGGCCTTTTTAATTGCGATAAAAGTTGCAACTTTAGTTACAGATTTTTTTTTACTTCTTCCTTCAAAGGTGGACAGGGCATCTATTGACCTGGGCAAGGACGAAATTTACATAACTGAGTAACATTTGTTAATCAATCAGCATTTGCAAAATTTAACGAATACAACCTACCAAATATTTAGAACCTACAGAATAATTACTTTTAGTAAAAAACTCTTTTCAAATGACAGAATACATATATTCTGATATGTCATTTTCGAGATAATTTGTAGAGCCTGATAAAAAATGGAATAGTTCAAATGCGCTACAAACTTTGCTATAGGAGATATTTATATTTATAGAGAAAAATCACATTAAAAAATAAATTGAAGCTGACACTGCCTACATTTTAAAAAATGTACCTGCAGGAAGAGCGTAATATGCCAGAAGGCTATCATCCATTTTTAAAGTATAAACTGGCATTAGAAATGCACTTAGACTGCCAGCAATGAGCTCCAATATTAAATCCCGGACAAGGAGTTCATTTTGAGTTAACTCTTCCAACTTTCCCAAATGCTTCAACGCGTACAAATTTATTATAGTAATTTTAACCAGTTCCTCCATTTTAAAACTTTGGGTAGCTACTAATGCTGTCATAACAGAGTTAAGGCTTTTCACCGTTAACTGTCCTTTTTTTAGTTCAGTTACAGTATGGAAATAGCCGTGAGTGCAAAGGAAAAGTTGAATAAACTCATTTACTGTCATTTTGGTTTGAATCTTTTCTGAAGCACTAAAAATAAGGCCCATATAACAAGCAACACCTAAATATACTTACAATTTATTACCAATCCTTATCAATTGCAGAATTTAAAACACTGAGCAGATTTGTTGTAGAAGCAGGAAAAGGGTTTTTCACACAAATGCCTCTAATGTAATAAAAGACAGTGGAGAGTTTGTCACCTTGACTTGCTTCCAAGAGAGCTAGTTGATTATATGGGTGACCACTTATAGGAGACACCAGTATTGCTTGCCTGCATGTGATGTAAATGTTTAACTAAGATCAAGATTTTGTAGGAGTACTTACTTATAAAAACTTTCAGCCTCTCTCCTCTGATTTCTATATCTAGCAATATCACCCAAATGCACTAAACAGTACTGACAGATATACGAACATGATGCTAACTGGGGAATATGTGTCTGTTCTAGGATAGTAACTGCCTGACCATATATGTTACCCCTTTGTCTGAATGGTAATTCAATATCAAACGAATTACATAGCTCTTGCAGCAGCGTAAGATAAAATCCAGACGCCGACTCGAGTGCCCAAGTTAGAAGAGCTTGGAAGTCGGACCTTTTGGGATTCTATGTATCAATGACAATTAGCTTTCGGTTAAAATCACTGCTAATAATTTGCGGTTTACCTTTTTGTCGCGCGCTAACTCTTGCAAGTGCGAAATGTGATTCTTGAAGCCTATATTCCACAAATCTTGTTCGACCTTTCTATCCAAAGCATACTCTAAATCCAGAACCAAGACCTGATGATATATTGTTTGCAGCTTTTGCTGATTAGTCCATGCATCGGAATCATTCAACAGATCGCTTTTTCTCGCCACTTTCTCCTTCAAATCATCGGCTTGCCTGAAGTGATAAATCAAAATATTTTTGAATAATATAAATCAAACTTGCCTACTTCAAAACCTGCACGGCTGCTTTATATCCCATTTTTATTTTTTTCACAATTATAATTTTAGGTTATGGTAACTTTAATAGATCAGGTTGTAGATAAGCAAACAACTATATCTCTAATGGTTGGTAATAACTTGCAAAGAACATTTTTTTAGCGAAAAATTTCGTAATTTATGCTTTTCCCAGGTTTTTTACGTTATCATAGCGTTAGCACCTGATATTTGACAATTACATTTGAACTACTAAGTCAGCCCAACAAAATAAAGAAAATTATTTGATTTTTTACAAAACTTCGTTAAAGACAATGGTTTACACCAAAATTCAATTACTAAATCTTTAAATTAGATCTTTATAATGAACAATTCAATTTATTTTAAAATATTTGTGTGTAATGCCTTTTGGTATTTATTCATGTCTTAGATTAGTAGTACCAACGATAGGTTGGCTACATTGTGGCTTTCACGTTTGCCGCTTCTTTTGATCTGTTTCGTCATCAGTGTAGTTAGGGCGTTAATAATGGCTTCTTCAGAGGGTAGTGGTGTAACTACTGGTCAGCCAAACTTATGCAGGCAGGACTTGTCTAAATTGGTAAATACACAAGCATATTTTGAAAATAAAGTTCTAGCTGTGTGGTTTATCATTTTTAAAATGAAGCTAGAAATCTTAACCTAAGAATTTCGACCTGGCTTGACTCTAGTATGCATCTGTTACACATTGCTATACCTATTTAACGTGCTATTTATGTATATTTATGCACAGTTCCATACAAAGTTGACCTTATATAACAAAGTAACCAATTGTTTTTTTCATTTGAATCCTATCTTTTTAAGGATGTGACCAAGTTAACAGCCCTCTCACCAGAAGTTATTAGCAGACAGGCTACGATAAATATCGGCACCATCGGTCACGTAGCTCACGGAAAATCAACGGTGGTAAAAGCTATTTCGGGGGTACAAACTGTACGTTTCAAAAATGAGCTCGAGAGGAATATAACAATTAAACTGGGTGAGTTGATTTCCCGATCCTATTTTTCGTAAGTTCTTTCTTCCTATTTGTAAGTACCTACACTTGCGTATTATGGGGGTTATGAGTGGGCAGCTTTCATTTGCTAAATGTTGTTTGTCATTTGCAAATGACTCTTAAAGACAAGGGGAGTATCTTCCACCGTTGTAAAGCCTTTGTCATTGCAAGACTGTAGTTTGTATCATGTTTAAAAGTATCTTTATTGGCCGTTATCCTAACTTATTGAAATTTTCCCATTTGGTTGTAGATAAACTGCAATTTAATGACAAAGGCTTTGTAACGTGGCCGGCGCACCTGTATGGACAGAAAGTAGATGTGAAAGCCACGGTGGACGATTGCAGCAGCAGCAACCAGAGGGGACTGAAAAGGAAACAGACCCTGGCGCCCCCAAAAAACACGATTTACAAAGGGAAATTCTCCGTTGAAGCAATCGAGAAATTGCAATATGACCCTTATCAGAAAAAACATTTATTTTTTATAAAGTGGGAAGGCTACCACTCTGACTGTAACACGTGGGAGCCAATCGAGCACTTGGACGGGGCCAAGCAGCTTTTGCTCGATTTTTTGAGTAACTTGTTTGACGATAAAACCATGACGTTTTTGTGCTTGAAGTACCAACTGAGCAAGGAGAATATAAATGACGAAATGCTGTTGAGCGTGCTAAAGGACCGCGATCTGCGCAACGTGCCGGACAAGTTAGATACCCAAAAACGCCTCTTAAATTATCTGGATTGCGTTTGCTACTCTTACCTCACCAAACGGGTAGAAGAGGGCAAACGCGTGGTGCTAACTTACCTGCTGGTATCGAAGCGGGAGGAACAATTGGCCAGGCTCCGTCGCTGGGAGGCCATAGTCAACAAAATGGACAAGGGGGAGGCGGTCATCAAGGTGGAGAACGAGGTAGACTTGGAGTTTCCCCCCGAAAATTTCTGTTACATCAACGACTACGTTCCCACGGGTAACATCCAGATCCTCAACACGCCGGACAGTCATTGCGAGTGCGAAGCGTGCGGTCCCGGGATAAAGTCGTGCTGCGGCAAACAGGAGCACAACTCGTTTTCGTACAACGCGCGTCGCAAGATCAACGTCAATCCGGGCACCGCCATCTACGAGTGCAATAATTCCTGCAAGTGCGGACCCGATTGCAGGAACCGCGTGGTTCAGAACGGTCGCAAAGTACCGTTGTGCATTTTTCGCACGTCGAACGGCTGCGGCTGGGGCGTGAAGGCGTTGACGAAGATCGGTTGCGGCGAGTTTCTCTGCGAGTACGTAGGCGAGATCATCAACCACGAGGAGGCCGAGAGGCGTGGCAAGGCCTACGACGCGGAGGGTCGTACGTACCTGTTCGATTTGGACTACAACAGCCGCGATAACCTCTATACAGTTGACGCGGCCAAATACGGCAACATTTCCCATTTCATAAATCACTCGTGCGACCCTAACCTCGGGGTATACGCGACGTGGATCAATTGCATGGATCCGAATTTGCCGAAGCTGGCGCTGTTCGCGCTTAGGGAGGTTCCCAAGGGGGAGGAGCTGACCTTCGATTACATGATGAATATCGATTCGGTAGAACCGAAGACGCCCGAGAAGTCGCGACCGAAGTTAGACACGCCCGAGAAGGGGGCGCCCCAGACGGACAGGCCGACCTGTAAATGCGCGGCCCAATCCTGCCGCCGTTACTTGTTTTGACAACTGCTCCTTGAGACTAAAATGTTACGAGTCGGCGATTGCGTTTTGTTTTAGTGTTTTACCCCAGGAGAAATCGAAACTAGGGCGAGGATGTCATCAACGACACTATAGGCTATATGAGTCACGACGTAGCGTCGCCATTTTGGTTTGTAACCGTCAACAATTTTCCCTATAAGTTTTTACGGCGCTGTTTTTGTGCGTTTTTTTAACTACTAGATATTGTTTAAGGAACTTTGTTTTTATATTGTCAATTAAGAAATGTGTTCCACCCCATCTTGAAAAGTAACTGCGAAGACTTAGGGTGAAAAACCTTAGAACTAAAGTGATAAAAAGAGAAAATGCTAGAAATTAGTTTTAAGTTTCTGTAAATAATCGCATTTTTGAAATCTGCCCTGGGCAGATTCATTTTCATTACTAAAAACTATGCGGCAACATCACTTTTTTATTGCAACAAAAGATAGCCAAATAATAGTCACTTTAGTGAAAACCGCATTTCGATATGGTTTCCTAACCTATATCAGTAATATAAAGAATGAAACTATTTAATATATAAATTTATTATTAAAACTGTTACATTATAAATAAGAAGTCAATAAACATTAATACTCATTTAATATGTTGGAATATTACAATACAATGTTTTACAGAGAAACAATGAAACAAATAAAGCACTTTGCGTTTTTATGCAAGATGTGTGGTCCTGAAAAATGTAGTTGCTAACAGTTGCGTTTTCATTGTTTTGAAAATAGACACAAATGGCATTCTCTACACTAAATAAGTGCAATCTTAAAATTATTGGCACTTAAACGCCACCATTATAATTTTCGCTATTTTGCTAAAAGAAGGAAAATTAGCAATTGCGGTCGCAAAGATGCGAGTAAAGAGATGTAGAATTGCGGTTTTCATTGATCATCTTTTGTTGCAATGAAAGTGATATCGTTACATTAAATTTTGTTGAAGTAAATTTTATTTGTAGTGATTTATCAAGACGCCCTCTAGCGGCGATCTGAGCAATCTAAATGAATTTGTCAGGGATGTATTAATAGCCTAAGAAAAAAATAAATTTGTAGTTAGATTTTAATTTAAGATAAACAGTTTACTGAAAAGGCACTATAAATAACCCTTTTTACGTAATAAGTTTAGTATTTTAAGAAGTTTTATACATCTAGAGTAGTTTCAACTACTTGAATATAAGCTAAAATTATGTAATAATCTTTACATATCAACCAGTTTATGATAAATTTCGATTTCCAGGTAAAAAGGTGCACAAACAATATTCAATGAAATTTACAGCTGAAACATATACATAAGATCTAAGAACCTATACTAGGTGCTTAAGCATCTGTGGAATGTGTATTAAATAGATGTTGCCTATTTCCAACTGTAAAAACAAATAACTTTAGTTTTGAACTATGAATAAATTTGAATTTGTATTCTACCTACGCAGGTAGTTCCAGAAATGAATTAGTTTATTATTTTTTATTATTCTTCTTCTGAAGTTGTAAACTCAAACATTGGTTTGGACTATACTATTTTGAAGTCCTGATTAGTGCTCATTAATTTTTATTAAATATAAGTATTAAATTCATTTAAGGATCTGCAAAACCAAAAATTTAGGTTTAGAACTTATGTTTTCCTGGACAACTGGTATACGTGAAAAACTGTTTTGTCCATTGTTGACTAAATGTTGCCGCAGATTATTTTCGTTGGCCACTTCAAGTAAATATTTATTACTTAGCTTAGCTTATACTTAGCTAATAATAAATAATTACTAAAATGCTTTGTGTCAAACGAGAATTTGGTTCATAGCGAAATGCCTAGTTGTGTTGGGTGTTTTTACTAGGTTAGACATCTTAAGTTTAGCACAAGTAGAATTACGGTCGAAGCCGTACCACTCTTAAATGGTGATTTTTAAATGGGAATCGTCGGCCAGATAGTAAGGAGAGTGTATAAGAGAAAAACAGCGTTTTAAGTCTTAAGAGTGGATAAGAAGTTCTCTAAATAGTTACGTTCATTTACTTCATGGTATACATATAAAAAATGTGACCTTAGCTTTAATTTTACAGATATTTACTTGTTTTGATTTCCAAAGCTCATCTTTATATCATTTTCATAGATTATGACTACTGTGCATTACAAAATCACGTTTTGGTGTTTGATGTTTCAACGCAATAGTATTAGGTTAATGATTTTAGTTTAATTATTGTTAAGATTCATTCAATTAACTGACTAAATTTTATAATGTTAAAAACAAAGCTGATTGTTAATGAAATTGCTGCCTTTTAATTGTTAAAGCTGTAAGAATGATAATTGCATTTTGTAGAACTGAATAAACGGGATGATTTTTTACGCCTTGTTTAGATTTGTGACTGTTGAGTTAGGTATTATTGTGGTATATATATTATATATTAGATTGTTAGACTGTAATTCGTTTTGTTTGTTTGTTTTTGTGTTTCTAAGTTTTTACTTCATCAGCCAATAGTGGATGTGGAATTTTGTGCTCCAAGGTTTGGTTTCATTAATTGACTTTACTTAAACCGCAGTAGTTGCACTACTCATTCTGTGTATTAGCTATAATAACTATTTTGGCGGACACTACATATATGTAATTTATAAGCACAGTATTGATGGTGCATTACAAGACCCTGAAAAACTATTTTAAAAAAAAGTTTTTTCTTATAGGTTTGGGGTTTTGGGGTTGGGACAACACCGTGTCTTTATCAAATGTGTGATAAAGACACGATGGTGTCGAAACAATTGTCATGTAAAAATATATAATTTCGTGAAAATCTGAACTTTTAGTTCTTATTTATTTTGATAAATGGATTTTCATCAAGTAAAAGCCACCTCAGTTCAAGTTATAACAAGCGTTCGTTTTAAAAGTCACTTACAAATTGTACTCCTCTGGCGGTATTCTTTAAAACGGCAAGTTTTTCAGATTCATAATGCCTATATTGTTATTTATCTCCTTACAGCCCTTGCTAATACACTTTTTGTGTCACCAAAATATGAATAAAATTTTATGGTTCAGATTGCGGGGTCTCACCTTGCAGAGGATGGGGGCAGTTTTAGGGTTTGTCCAGATTTTCCACATTTTCAATTATCTTTAAAATAAAACTGATGGTTTTGTATTCACTAGCCGTCGGACAAGGCAGATGGTGGATTTATTTTATTACATTACATTTAATAAAATTTAGGATAATTAATATCGACTTTTTAATAAAAAAAATGATATATTTGCATTCTTTTTTTTATGTTTATGTTCTATTCCTATATTAATGGGTGAGATTTACAAATCACTATTGAACTGTAAAATTTAGTTAGCCTTTGCTGTATTTTATAGGCATAGTCATAGTGTTGTTCCTATTGTCCAGGGCGCTGAGATTTACAGGTAGTGGATGTACCTGTGCCTTGGTGTTTAGAATTAGAATTATAGTTATCTTCGTTACCAAGTTCGTTCTTTGAGATGTTTCTGTGCGTTCAACATCATCTTCAACATTTTTAAATTAATTTATATATTTCTCTCAAAAATCCAGAAATCAAAAAAATATGTTCATTTACATTCGAAATAAAGAAGTTAGGTCCTTTGAGATAATTATGAGATATATCCTGTATAATATCTTCGTTGTGTGGAGCACATCCAACAAACAACTTTTGTATTTAATACTTTTCCCGGAATTCCACAATGTATCTCTATCTATATTTATAGTAACTATATGCCTAAATACCATTGTATCACTAATAAAAAAAGTACATTGCCTGCTACTGCCACCCTCTTGACTATAGAATCCAAATGTTTACGTGGTTCCATAATAAAATTGATGCTTTTTTTTGGACAACCTGTATAATGCGAAAGTATTTTTAAAAAAGGACCATAATAGGCCCCTACATATCCCAAATTTGAAATTTCGAAAACCTGGTTTACAATTTTAACAGAGTACATATGCTTTGAAAAATGATGGAAAAAAACTGCAAAACTGCGAATTACAATTTTATTTGGTGCAAATATGGAATGTGAAAAGATAAAGCCGTTTGTCATAAGTAAAAGAAAAAAAATTCGACGTTTTTAAAAGTACACGCACGATAAGTTACCCCTCCAATGGGTATCTAATAAAAATGCATGAAAATCAAAATAAATAAGAACTAAAAGTTCAGATTTTCAAGAAATTATATATTTTGACATAACAATTGTTTCGACAACACCGTGTCTTTATCAAATCAAATCAACATTTGATAAAGACAAGGTGTTGTCGAAACAATTGTTATGCCAAAATATATAATTTCGTGAAAATATGATCTTTTAGTTCTTATTTATTTTCATTTTCATTCATTTTTATTAGATTGTTTCAACAACACCGTGTCTTTATCAAATCAAATCACCATTTGATAAAGACACGGTGTTGTCGAAACAATTGTTATGTGAAAATATATAATTTAGTGAAAATCTGAAGTTTTAGTTCTTATTTATTTTGATAAATGGATTTTCATCAAGTAAAAGCCTCCTCAGTTCAAAAATGCATGGATGACAGGAGATATCATGACCTGTGGCTGCGCGAGTTTGATTCTAAGGCGTAGAGAGAGAACAGGAAAGTAGCGTTATTTTTATATAATTCTTTTAGAATATGTATATGTATTTCGATTATCCAAATTGAAAAAACATTACAATAAAAAAGTGCATTTTTAAAGCTGGATTTGAGTGAAACATAGATATCGAGGACTTCGATGGTCAAGTGTTTCCTACATTAAATAATACTTTTTTGGATCTAAAACAATTTTCATTAATATAGCAAACCTGACCGAAGCCTGTGGCAGATTGAGACTTGGAAATATATCTAAACTATGTATTATATTATAATATTAAAATATAATATTTTATATTATGTACCGGGTATTCCATTTTTGACACTTCTATTGGGAATCCTGGTTATTTTTTATGATAGAAAGTTGCGATTGACGCTTGAAATTAAAGTTATTAAAGAGTTTAAAAAACGGTCTTATAGGATTTTTCCGTAAAATCCAGGGGCGTAGTTTGTTTTTACTTGCCCTAACCGTTTATTAGTTATGAAGCAAAAATATATATTTTTAATGGAACACCCTGTATATTATTTTTTACATTAATTGGAAGTCATTTAAGCTTAGTAGTAGGCAAAAATTAATCTTTTAAAAACAATATCCAAGTAAACAATTATTAACATCCTTGTATGTATTTTATACGCTATGAACTACTATTGGTAGTAATTTTCAACTTATTGTAGTCCATTATTCCATTAATTAATACGAAATAACATTATCGATTTCCTTCTTAGACTTTTGAAAGGTAAACCAATTGCCTCTCAAAGTTCTGTTACAGACTCGTATCGTGTTTTATTTACTTTATATTACATATTTTCCCAAAAAAAGAAATCTGAAACTGAAAGATCCGGAGATCACTGTGGCAATCTTACAGGTCCATTCGTACCTATCCATTTTTGAGGAAAAATAGTTTTAAAAGTCCAGCGTTATGACTTGGGGTCCATCTTGCTAAATATATATATCACTAAAATATACCTTTCTGAAGGAAGTCTAGGTACCTATGTGCTATAAGACCTCCTTCATAAATTCGGTAGGCTATTCGTTGTCCCAAAGTAAAACACGATACCCCAACCGCATAGCTTCCTTGTTGGGCCCTTTCAAGAATTAAATGGTGGTGGTGGTTTTCTACCGATCAGTTCCTCTTGTTATGGCGATTAAAAATTCCCGTATTTGAAAAGTAACATTCGTCGGACCATATTATCTCCCAAAAGAATCGTTAATTGACCATATCCCTCTAAAAACCTTACCTGTGGGAATATAATTCCGAAGCTTGTTTATTATTTTCATTGCATTTTATAAAATATACCAATATATCATATTTATCAGAATTTTCATACACTGCCATTATTATGGAAAATTAATTAAAATGAAATACACAAAAACAAATGGATAGCTTATAAAAATGTAATTAAAAACTGACAGTCTAGTAAGTTTTTGACACATTTGCTTTTTTGTTTTTGATAGATCAGTCATCTACTTAATGTTATAATCTGATTCTGAAATACATCCATGGTGTTCCCACTATCGCTACAAAAAACCCAGCTCCGCCGCCACCTCAGCTAAAGAATTGACCTGTATGTACCAGAACGTTCGGGGCGTCAGAACTAGGACCCATGTCTTTTACAGCGGCGTACCTTCCTCAGGGTATGATATCGTTGCTGTTACTGAATCCTGGCTCAACCAGATTTTCGGGACTCTGAACCCCTTCCTGATTCTTATCTGGTCTACCGCTCAGACCGAAGGCAAGATCTAACTGTAGTCTCCAGGGGCGGTGGTGTCATGCTCGGTGTTCGTGACAGTTTTGAGTCCGTACTTCTGGATACCTCCGGCATCAGCAACAGTGCTCCAAGCATAGACTTTTTAGGCTGTAAGATCTCTTTAGATTACTTTGTATTTTATTTATTCATAGTATACATTCCTCCCACTGCTGCCAGCTTCGAAGTTGAGAACTTTTTTGAATCTTTGTCGTCGCTGGACTTGTTGTTTGGCGGATCTGTCTTGTTATTGGGTGACTTCAATATTCTTTCTTTCACTGTTTCAGCTCCTATCAATGTCCGACGTAGATCCCTTACTCAACCTCAGCGCCATATTGAATCTTAAACAGCATAACTCTGTAACTAACCTAAATATATATAAATAAACAACAACAAACTTGCCTATGCGGATGACCTAAAACTCTATGAATGCATTGAAACTGGCATGGACTGCATGACTCTCCTGGACAACATAAATATTGTCAGTCAGTGGTGTACTAAAAAAAATTGCATCTTAACATCAGCAAGCGTAATGTGGTTTCTTACCTCCGCATGAAAACTCCTATAGTCTTTAATTACAATATGGATGCCACGTGCCACTGTGAAGGATCTGGGGATTTTATTTGACCAGTCGTTCTCTTTTGTACCTCACATTACTAAAATGGTTTCCAGGGCAATACAAATTTTAGGATTGGTAATAAGAAATTGCAGGCATTTTTGTAGTTCAGCTACTGTTAAATTGTTATTTATCTGTTACGTTAGGTCCAAGCTTGACTATGGCTCGCTGATATGGTCACCAATTTGTAACTGCCGTACTCAGTCCATTGAGAGTGTGCAGAAAAGGTTACAAAAGTATTTCCGGGTATTCATCCGTTCGTTGTCTGACCCTGGAGTAGGATCATTCGCCTGACGTTTCGCCAAAATATCACTTGGCACCTTCAGAGGCCGCGCGTCCATGTCACTCGTACGTGTCCGTACTTAAACTGCGGACTCTTCTTTTAAAGTGTTGTAACAATATTTTTTCTGCTTTCGAGATAACTTCACTAAATTCTTCGTAAGAGTTTGATGATTTTTCTGAAGCAACGTAACTATCCTTTAATAACCGCTGTAATTCTCTTGGTCTCCTTCTATTCAATAAAATAATTCTACAATACACTGTCTCCATCAAAATTAAGAAGGCATTGACATTCATTGCATTTGCAGAGAGTAAATTGGCAGCTTCTGCAGTAGACATTAAGTATTCTTTTAGAAGTTTTAGATCAGACGCTAGAGGAACAATTGTTTTTTTATTAAATTTATTGATGTTTAGATCATTGACAGCTCGACTCGATATATCTAATCGCCAGTTAGATGCTAATAAATTTACCATCCTTTTTAATCGAGATTCAATATTTGCCGTTTCAACTGATGGTTCACTTTTTATGGTCATATAAGTTGCAATATCGCAACACTGTCTCAGAGATGTGGAAATATTCATAGCATATGTGGGCGCTACAAACACTTAATTAATGCTATCAAATCTTGCCACAGATTTTGTAGCTTCCACCAGTTTATCGTAGTGCTTTGGGTGCAATGCTTCAAATAGATTTGCTATGTGTGGATCCATTTTTTTAAGCTCTAATAAAATTCTTGACAACTCTCGCATTTTTCTACTTGTAACACTAATAAAATGTTTTTCGCGATGTGTCTTAAGATAACGAGCTCCAAAGGCACATATTAAGTCATTCTTTGCCTCTAAAGAAATCTTATCAGGTCTCATTCTAGGAAAAACCTGATCTTCTAATTGTTGGTCAATTTGGGTCAAATTTTTTATCAAAAAGTTTTGACTTGCAACTTGAGCATTTTTTGATGAACTAGCCCCTGTGCATTTCTTTGTATGTCGATATAAAATTTTGGATCTGTAAAATCCCAAGCAGTTTGTGCATGGCAAAAATGATTTCTCTGGCTCCCGTGCTTTTTTCATCGGTTTGACAAGCTTCGGAATTTTTAATAAAATTGCCCTTCTTTTTTAATAGGGCTAAAAGTTTTTTCCTTCCCTCACTCTTTTTAGGTTTGGAAAAAATTTGCAATACTTCTAATTCATACGGGTGATTCCTTTCGATATGTCGAAGAAAATTTTGAACATCGGTTTCGCAAAAGTAGCACAAGTCCTTTTTCCTAGTATATTTTTTATTTTCTTTTGTATTTCTCAACGATTTAATTGTGTTTATTTTTGTATCCGTGGTTTCGTCCTGAAACGGTTCTTAATCCATAAAATATACGCAACCAATAGCTGACAATACTTACAGAGTCTGGTTGAGATTCCTCTGAATTTTACAGTCGAATATTCTCCAAAACCGTAATTTTCTGTAAATGAAAACCAGGTTATAGAATGTTAAAATAACATGACAAAGCAAAGTGAAGACATTCTTGTTTATACTACGATAAAGACTCTAAATCACTGAACCAGTTTTAAAAAAATTGACTGAATCCGACGATTTGCAACCAAAATTTTATGATATGCTTTAAATATATTTTTTTATATTGCAAGATACCTTGTTAAATTGCCACAAAAAGAAACCTATAACTTCCAAGGTATGGTTTAACACTACCTGAATTATTTGTAAATATAATAAGAAAGTGTATGTGAGAATAAGCTAAACACAAGAAAAACAAAAAATAATTAAATGACAAGATCAAAGCAAAGAATTGTTTTGATTTATAGTGGAAAGTTTCTTGCTCTTGGGTAATCGTCCAAGTTATTTATTATTACCTTCTTAAATTTACAGATCTCTATTTCTGAGTCTGACGACGATCTATCTGGAAAAAATTCTGGGACGGCATCGCCATCGTCGAATGTTGAATGTGGCGAAAAATCACCTGTAAA